GAAGAGCGCCTTGAGGACCGCGAAGCTGAGTGCCTCGCTTGCGTCGAGAATCAAGACGAAAACCATCAGTGAGTGTGTTTCGCGTTGCGGTGTGTGCAGGGGGTGGCAGCTCCGTCGAGCCGTGGCCGTTCTACGGTCGCCCCTCTGCCCGGGGGTTGCAGTGAATTCGGTGCCCTGCACGCGAGTGTCAACTGCCGCTGAAGGCGGTACTGGCTCTTCTGCTGGGAGGAATTTTACTGCCGGCTTTGTGGGAGGGCTACTGAGTTGTAGAGATCTGAATCTGAGGAAGGCTCTTGTGGGAAGAGGAAGAAGTAGGAGGAGGGAAGAGGCATGGATGAGACCTTGGATGCTGATTCTGTGTGACACCTTTTTCTCTCTTACAGACAACTCTTCCACTCTTTTCAAAGTCTCCCTAAAGCATAACAATAAAGCACTGGCCCTGGCCCTCAACGAACAAAAAGCCAACGCGCAGCGGCTCACCCAGGAGAGGGCTGCCCTACAGAGGGAGCTGGAGCAGTGCCATTTCCAGAACGCCGTGTTGCGGCACAAGCTCTCTGCCATGGTATGGCACTACCAGTGTGGCTGGCATAAGGAGGGAGGGTGGGCAGGGTATGCAGCACTCTCAGCCTTGGGACGAGTGAGCTGTTGCTGATGGTCCAAATTCTCAGCATATGAGAAAGGTTACCATTCATTTATTTACTCTTTTTTCCAAGCTGTGTTCTCCTCAGAACACGCCTTGTTCTGGCTACCAGGATCCTTGTTGGAATAGATGTTTTGATTTGATATTTTTATGGTTTCTCTCTCTTTATTACCTCAACACAGGATAAAACCTTGACAGAATTTGAAAATCTTATGGCTCCAGTGGTGGCTTGGCTGTCTAAGGTAAGCCGTGGGAAATGTGAGCACACTGCTCTGGGAAGGGGTCTGCGTTTGTCTTTTGCTTTGTGTTGCCTGTTCACTTCAGTGTTCGGTGCTTCTCTTTCTCTTTGTTTGCTTGAATTGTGCTGGCTGCATCCTTGTTTTTAGCTTGGTGTTAAGGATTTCCAAGGTAACTTTTTCTGTTGGAAGGGCTACAGTTTTAAACTGCTTTTCCCTGGATCATTGGTTGTATTGGCCAGTAGGCTCTTCTGCTATGACAGGTTGTGACTTTTTTTCATTTTTTTTAAAAGCGTTGCCATGGCAACTGGGAATATCGAATAGGACACTTTCCATAAGTCCTGTGTCATCGGTGGGTGGAAAGATACTCCTGTTTCATAGTCTCAGATTATCTGAACTAGTTTATAACTTCATCCGGAGGCCTGTGGAGACAGAATCTGATTCTGCTGCAGTTTATTCTATAATTTGTGCCATTTTAAATGGGAGAAGGTAACTCAGCAGTTTACATATACATACTTTCCAGAGTTAAACTGAACTTTTGCTATTTTTGCAGGAGGCCACAAAGAATTTCCAGAACTATAAACCACTCTTCTATTTCTCATCTTTCTAGTTGCATACAAGTTCTGCATCCTTATGCAGTGGTCAGAAGAGCAGCTGTGTTGATGAGACTGTAGATGGTCAGCTTCTGAGGTGGGCCTTAAAATGTCAGATATCACCAAGCTTGTCCTGAATTTCTATATGCTAAGCATCCTCTTATGTTTTACGTGTATGCCCAGTTGCCAGTTTTACATGAGCTGTCTTCTCTGAACCACCACTTTTTCCTTTCCTCTGTGTCTTTCTGTTACCATTTCTTGTCTTGTTTGTCCTAATGCCAAGCCTATACATGAACTGCCTCATTTATTTGAGAGTGCATTGCCTTTAGATAGTTTTTCCTTTGTATCTGGTGTGCTGTGCACGATTTCCTTGAGTGAGTGCCATAGCTGGCTGTTTTGATGTTTGTTACATATATATGCTTAATAGCCACCTCCTTGTATGCTGTAGACTTGTATTCTGGAAAGATGGTAGAGCAGGATCTCTTAAAATATATTTGAAGTCCTGTTTCTGCTCTGTCTCCCCTTTGAACACAGGGGAGTCCCTGGAGCTGCCCACACACATACCTCCAAGCAGCCATGTGGGTGTTCCACAAAAAGGTAAATGTGTGGTCACAACCTGTGTGTTGAAAGGCTTTACTTCCTTGTTGCCTCAGTGTATTTCTCTCCTGCTTCTGTGCCCGCAGCAGTGTGCTTTCCTTATGTGTTGTGCTTGCTCAAAAATGAGAAATCTGCCATGTCTTGGCAGTATGTGTTCTTCAACAGTTGAAGCCTTCAGGAATGTATTTCAGCAACTCTTGATGGAGGTGAAATCTGTAGTTAATCCTGCCAGATTCTGGTGCCTGTCACAGGAGAACATGCCCCATTGCTGTTATTCCTTCTCACCAGGGCAATAGGGATGCCAATGAGGGTGCCCATTTCCAAGCCATGTCATGAAGAGCAGCAAGGTATCAGCTCCACAGCAGTACAGACATCCTTGCTAGAGCTTCAGATACCTGCTTCTAATGAGCCCTTGAAAAGCATGCCTGTTGCCTCCAAAGATACTTTGCCACCACAGCCTGCTGAGAAGCCTAAGTGCCAGCAGGAAGAGGATGGGAAGAAATTGACTGAAGCAGTGGAAACACCAGAGGCTTTTCTTGACTCTTGCATCCTCGGAGGTAACTTTGCATCTGTTGCTATTCTTCTGTATGATTTCATGTATCTGTGCTCAGAAATGCATGAGTGGAGTGTCATAGCTCCAGTTAGCTCCTAATGGCTGGTAGGAGTTGCATGTTTCAGTGGGACTGTTATTGCTGGAGTTATGTCCCAGAATGGGATGTGTTGGTGGGGATGTTTGGCATGTTTGCAATAGTTTGAGACCACAAATTAGCCTTTTTGAGTAATAGGCACTGAGCTTACACAAGGTTTTCAGAAATGTCTGAAGGTGCAAAATCTAACTAGATGCACAACTGTTCCTTGTGGATTTGCCATAGAAATGATAACTCTCACACAGATAATGAGTGTTCACAAATATTACAGCTGGTAAAGGGCTCTTGTTTTGGGAGTCACTGTAGGGACAAAAATCATGCTTTTTCTGTGCTCTGGATTTGTGGCAGTGGGTGGGGCAAGGCCTTTGGGGAAAGCTGGCATTTACCTGCTGCATTTCTCAGTCTTAAGAACAAATTTTGTCTTTCCAACAGAAGACTTGTACACCACCCGACAAAATCCCAACAGGTTGCCAGCATTTCCCTGGGAAAGCCATCCTCTTTCATGTGAGGCTGATGAGATGGCAGAACATTTCTTTGATCATCTCTCACAAGGGCATATTACTCTGAGAAGAAAGCGTTCCCTCCTGTTTCTTACAAGCACTCCATCTTCTGGGGTGGATATCTTTCCACGTGTCAGTTCCACTCAGGCAGCACCGTGTAATATCACAAAGGACAACAGCAGCTCCAGCAAGAACAACACACAGGGAGACCTGAAATCTCCTGTCTCCCTGGCTTCACCTACTCAAACCACTGTTATTCCTGATAGAAAATCTGTGGATAAAGAGATTTTCTCTGATCAGCCACAGGCTAAAGAAACTGAGTGTGGTGTTGAAATGGACCCCAGCTGTGGGCAAGTCCCTGCATTTGTTCCTCGAAAGAGTGAAAGCAAAGGTGACTGTAAAACTGTTGAGAAAACAACTGTTAAAAAAGCAAGCACAGAAAAAAAGAAAAAAAAGAAAACAAATGCCATTAAAAACAATGCAGAAAGTAGGCCTGATATATCTCAAGGTCAAGAGTGTTATCAAAATGCAAAGCAGCAACTTCAGTCAAAAGCTGAAACATGTTCTAGTGAGTCTGAAGTTTGTGAGATGGGGCAGAAGGCTTGTGTGGGGCCTTTTGACAGGAAGAATAGAGGGTGTGGTGTGGAGCAACATTCCTGATGTCCTGATGGAGTCCAAGATCTCAAAAGTACATATATGGTGAATCCAGCACAACTGCACAGTCTTGAAAGCGGAGACTTGGTGCAGCAAGCTAAGAAGGGAACTATAACAAGCTCTCCATACTTTGGATCTGAGAGAAAAAGCCCAGTTCATACCGTCTCAAGTCAGGAAGTTCCCTTGTATGGTTGCAGTTTGCAAAATTCACCTTTCCTGAGGAAAGAGACCTCAAGTGCCTGTGTTTTGCAAGAGGACTCAAGTGTGAGCAGAAAGAGCGTCAAACAGAAAACCAACAGAAAAACTAGACTAATTGTACAAAGTGATGATTCTGATGATTATTTGCCAAAGTGTGCGAAAATACTAGAGGCCAAAGCTGAAGAACAATGTGAAAGAAGGCAGCCAAGCAGGAAGAACACTGTCAGGAAAAGCAGTTGTGATCAAAGAAATGAAGTTGATGGGGTTTTGCCCCATATAGATGTTGGAGGAGTAGCTAAGGAGAGCACAAAGGATTTATCAGCTAATCTTAAACGTAGCAGGAGAACTTACTTTGTCTGTCCTTTGGATCTTGCAGAAAACTTGAGTTATGTCCAGACAGAATTTGAAGGGGATGAAAATGTACCTCCCAGGTCTGTCCCTGGGAGAAAAGCTAGCAAAATCCCCAGAGCTGCTAAGCGCAATCTAGAGAGTAATAAAAAACAGACAGGGGATCTTCAAGAAAAGGAGCAAGCCAAAACTGGCAACAACACTAATGCTTTGAGCCAAGAGACCTGTTGCAAATCCAAGCCTCAGAGGAAGAGGAAAAGCTCTAAACCTCCAGAGACTGATTCCCTGGCCAGACAAAGTGATGGTGCCAGGGTTCATATTGAAAGTTCAACGGAACTTGCAGCCAAGCAAACTGTCCTGATGGGGAAGTTTTCCTGCATTACCGATCTGCTGTCTGACCAAGATGGCATACTGGAGGAACAGATACCTGAGATATGGCTTACAAATCAACTTATGGACCTTCCACAGAGTCTTGAATCCTCCTCTTTGACCCATTCTGAAGCTTGGTCTGCCAGCTCCAGGCTTACAGATGCAGCAGCTTGCAAGAGCTTAAGTAACAAGGGCAACAGGACGCCAGTGAAATTCCCTGTTCAGCCAAAATGCTCCCTGATAGTTAAAGAAAAGACTGCAGAGGAAATACCTGTGGAAAGAAACCAGGCTCAGTCAAGTTCTCAGAGCTCACCTTCACAGGAACCTGGTAGGTGGTAGGCTCGGGAGGGTACCTGTTTGGAGATGAGGACCAAAATTCCATGCACCAAGTGCTTAAATTTTTCTTCCTCTCTCTTTTTCAGAATTAAAGATCAGTCTCCAGTACACCATTTATGCTTCCACCTGTACTGGTCAGTCATTTGTGTGGCTGCATTTTTTTCTAGTTTATCAGTATTCCCTATACAAATTTCTGCCCACTTGTCCATGTGTGGATATTGGGAAAATACTAGCAGCATGTGCTGTGAGTCCTGTTTCACCACTCTTCTTATCTCCAGGGCATGCCTGTTAATTTAGAAAATCAATTACTCAGGCAATTGAAAAGTCTGTTTTGATGCTGACCCTGCCTACTGGCGTCAGCATTATCAGGGTACAGAATATGAAGATGGTTGGCAAGTGTTTTTGGCCCAAAATGGTTAGTGCTGCAAGATTTCAGACTTCATACCTCTAGGTGATACCTTCACTGAAAATTAATCTGGAGCTACCTAAATTATTTTAGCTGTGAGTTTTTTGGTTTGTTTTTGTTTTCAAAAAGATTTGGAGTGCATATCCTTTGGCTGGTAATACAGTAGTTAAGCTGATCCTTGTGGGGAATTTGCTGTTAATGGATGCTCTGTGAAGAGAGTAGTTTTGTGGGGGTCTTTCTTTCTGTAGCTGTTGACAAATAGGCCTGTTACAGCTAGACCGGGCTGTACTTTGTAGATAGGGAGGAAGCTTGTTCTCCCACCCTCCCTGTTTTGGCTGACTTCACTTTGAAAGCTGCAATGAACACTGGCATGGTCCTGCATCTTGCTGGAAGTTGGTAGGTTGCTAGTAGGTTGTTTGCATGCCATAAGTTTGCTCTCTCCAGGCTGTAAGTTTCTGGGCATTACAACCATCAACTATCATTTTTTTATAGTTTTTCTACTATACCAGGGCCCATCATACTAATAGTATTAGTGATCTGTATTTTTAAAGTGAGGAACCTATTTTGATTTGTGAACTGACTCTTGAGGAGCAGGTCTGATATTCACTCTAAACTCAGGAATCCAGAAATATGATTTGATTCAAGATTTTGTAATGTTCAGAGGAACCTGGTAATGCAGCCCTTTCTATTTTGCAGCTGTATTTCTTAGGATATATGGAAATTACTTGGAATCACTTTGATCAACTCGTGTAAATGTCTCCCTTTGCAGAGATCAGGCCATTACAGGATTTGAACAATACCAGAATTGTGTCTTCCACCAGCTTGGAAGAAGAGTCAGGGTCTTCAACCAGGCGGAGACGGAACCCAGTCTGCTATAAAGAGCCAAAACTCAACAGGTTGGGCTTTAAACTATTCCTTTTCATGAGTATTCCCATGCTGCAACCCCTGTTCTGCTCACTCTCCAGGGCTAGACCACCTGTGCCTTTGTTTAAGTTCTTCTTGCCCTTTTTGTTCTGTGATCCTCCTCTTCTACCACAATATGGTTATGCCAAAATTCCACCTCAGCACAGATGCATGATGTCTAGGCTTCTGATAACAAACTACTAAAGATGTTATTTTTCTTGTTGAAATGTGCACATCTGTAGTACTCCAGTGCTAATGAGGCAGTAGCTTGAGGATAAAATACAGGCTACATGAGAAGAGCTCAGCAAAAGCCCTGATTTTATTTACATTCTGTGATGGCTAAAGTTTTAGACACCTGAGTAATACTTTAATCCTGAGAGCAGGCTCTATCTACATTCGCTTTCTCTAGCAGATATGAGTATCTAAACAAATAATTGCATCTTTTCCCTAAAAGACTGTAGATTCAGTACATCCAGTGGCTATTGCACAGAATCCTAAAACTCCTAAAATGATGACTTTGTTGTTATGCTACCAGGTAATACTCTTCCTGCCTCCCCCCCAAAAAAAGTGTCACAATTTGAACTTTCTGTGAATAACTGGTTATACTGGGTCAGAAGGTGGTACTTTGTATTGGTACAGCATTCCTGTACGGGACAACGAACAGACTGTACCAGTCAGTCATCTTATATGGGAAGCATTTTAGTAAAATCAGAAACTTTAGGGGCTGAACTTATACAAATATTCAAGGTATACCTTGATGGTTTAATGTAACTCTTTTGATTCTGCAGCAAACTGAGACAGGGTGACCCATTTACAGACACCAAGTTCCTCTGCTCTCTGCTCAACAAAACACAAAAAAAACCTGTCAAAGCCAAGAAAATGACCAAGAAGATCAAGGAGGAAAACCAAAGACTTCCTGAAGGATGTCCCAGTGCTCAGGCAAGCAAGTTTATGACAGCAAGAAGCAGTCTGGATTAAAGTAGTGGTTGAATAGGTAGCCCCCAAGGTCCTAGGGGCTTGTGCATATTTGCTAGAATCTCTTAATATTCTACACAGCACATTTTTTATTTTAATGTGTAAATAAAGTCTTCTATATGAACGGTAGACATGTCCCCACCCTCCACTTTTCAATGCTGAGGTGCTTGTGACCCCACAGAGGGCTAGTTTGGCTCTGCCAGTTCTCTCCCAGCTCTACACAGGTTTGGGGAGAGTACACCATGGAGAGCTGATCTTCCATATACTAGCCCCAAAATAAAATTTCAGTGTAAGTGGTACCTTCAAATTCTTATACACTAACCTGATGCTTACCACACCACACTACAGATCACAGCTTTCCCTCAACCAGAACAAATTAAAACTCTGTTCTAAGAAGGGAGAGATTATTTTGTTGTTATATCACATTCTAACAGTCTGTCCCAGCATGTACTGGATTGTGCTGAAAGGTACTAAGTCTGAGGCAGGATTTCTCCATCGCTGCTAATGACACAAAGGAAGGAAAGACACAAAGAACATTAGCTGGCTTTTATTTTAGTTTGAACTAGAATATTCCTTTAAAAAAACCCAACACAAAACCATGGATGGAATAGTTTTTCGCAGTCATAATCTGACTTGCTGTATCACAGCAGGAAGGGTAAGTAAACAGCCCAGACAACTGCAGAAAAGGTTTGCACCTTTATGAATTGTGGGATGGAGAAGAGGTAACAGTTCCTATGCTTCATATCCAGTCAGAAGGAGCATAACTAAATGCATGGTCTGCATTTAGACACTGCAGCATGGCCTTAGTAGGCTCTTAGCCTATACAGTTTGTTTCCAGCATTTCCTAAGTGCTTCGTGAATACTACAGTTCTGACTGTAGCAATGGAACCCTTAGAATTAGGATACTATGCTTTGGTTGGCACTAAAAGGAAAATTGAGAGGGGCTGCAATAGAGCTGGTGTACCCCTGTGAGCTCATTTATACCTCAGTGGACAGTACTGGAGAGAAGGATGGTTCTGATTTCTGAGGTCTGTTGGACAGTAGTCAGCGCTGGTTTGACCAGAGCTGTGACACAGACTGGGCTTCCAGTCTGAGAGGAAGAGATAAAAGAAACACAGATCAAAGTCAGAAACTCAGGTCTGCTGTGAACAAAGTTAGGAATGCAGACCCACACTGAGCTTGAATACTATCACATTCATCTGCTTAGCAAAAGTAAGGCCTAGCCCGGCAACTCAAAGGGTTTAAAATGTGATCTTTTAAAAATTTAAAAAAGTGTCTATCTTCATTTTTGTCTAGTATTTGAAATGCTACATAAAATGTGATACAGCACCACTTACATCAGAGTGTAGGTGGGAGACACTTTGTTAGGGGAGCTTGAGTAGAACCCATGCCTTAAAGTCTGGGCAGAGAGGCCAACTTCTGCTTCAAGTTTTCAGCAAGCTTGTCCACGAACTCAAAGGTATTCAGGTAATCAGAGCGTGTGACACTGGTGGGGGGAGAAACAAAACAAGACAGACATTAGTCATACAGACTGTCAAATGCTCAAAGCAGGAGAAAACTGTGCAAAGAACTCTGTTTTTTTGTCTAGCCTCTAAAACCAAAACTTACCTCCTACTCCTCAGGCTGGTTTTTTTTTTTTTGCCAAAAGGCTTGAGAGAAGAGGTAGCCAGGTGATATTTTGCAGTTATGTAGGTCTCCTTCATTTACTAGTATGAAGGCAGAATCTGGCCAATGTAACTTGCTTGACATAAAAAAACCTTTGCAGTTCCTTCTCTACATTTTCCCCCCCATTCATTTGGTACAATAGCAGAGACAGAGTAACCTGGACTAAGCTACTTAGGTCAGGGAGTGTCTCATGTTCTGTTTGTAAATCACTGGGTACAGATGAGTCCTGTTCTGAGACAGACCGCTGTTCTTCACCATACTAAAATAACATTCCAACAAATGCTGTTCAGAACCACCAGGTGAAACAGCCTCCTCCAAACACAGCTGTTTATTTCATACACTTACTTAGGCAGACCTTTGATACAGGCAGCAAGGTCCTTTGTCATGAAGCCAGATTCAATGGTCTCAACACAGACTTCTTCCAGGGCAACGGCAAAGTTCTTGAGGCTAGTGTTGTTGTCCAGCTTAGCTCTGTGAGCAAGTCCTCTTGTCCATGCGAAGATGGAGGCTGAGAGAGAACACTAGATTACTCTATCCTTCTAGAACTCCCTGGAAATTGTTCTAAACTGTCATGTGGAACAATAATTGGGGTTTTATATTAATAAAACTGAAAA